TTCTCCAGTTTCCAGTTTCCAATTTCCTGTTTTCTTTTCGCTTTTTCTTTATACATATTGTCAGTAAAGCAGAGTCTTGTAACGATTATTACGGTGGCTTATCTGTTATATTTTATGATACATGCGAATGTTCAAACGCTAGGAAATGGTGTTGCAAATAATAATGGCCCGTCCATCTGCTGAATCGTATAAAGAGCTTATAACACTCTGATTCGAAATAGACGTGCTGCCAATTCATTCGTTCGCGGTCCGTCCTCGTGACATATTAGTAATCAACAAGTACGATAAATGGGGTGAATTTAACGTTCGAACACAAAGGGTTTACTCGGATAAAAGTAAACGCGCGCGCAAGTCTGAATTACTTGATTTTCATCATGCATTTCTTTTTTCGAGATTTATGAATACGACAAGGAAAATTTGACACAACGTTGCAGGAGGAGGACCCGATCAGTTAAATAGTGATGTCACTTGGGTAGCCTTGAGAATTTACGTGGCTCATCAAGCAATAGAAAACACTGTTCCACGCACGCCATCCCTTTAACGTCTGCGAGAATGATAATCAGGTACGCAAATATCAAACGTTTCTTCCATCAACCGTTTTTCAAACACGAGTAATTTTATTTACATGCACATACACATGTCTTTATAAACGAATAATTAGCTAGAACCTATTGAAGAATTGCAGTTATGGTCGCACAGTTATATATTAATCAATTTGGGGTTAATTCTACATGACAATTCAATTTATTACCAACTTTAGAAGTCATTAGTCGAATGCTAATTAAATTTAATTAATTGGTATTTAACATTTCGTCCAATCACTGTCTCTGACAGTTGCCCATTGTCATTTCACACATTATTCGCGTAGTCGAGGAAACAAGAGTCAATGGTGGAAACTCGCTCACGCAAGCGTGCACCATCTTTGGTAAATACAGAGTCTGTTCGGTCAAAGCGCACGAGACCGACTACAGAAAGACTGTTAAAGGTGATTATCACATGACGTTAAGGGAATGTCAAGCGTAAACATGATTCAGCGATGCAACGCTTGTACTAAAAAAGCAATCCAATTTCAGAAACGCAGCACCAAAATAGTATCTAGGCAAAAGCCTGATGCACTATCGGTCAACCTCCAAACCCGGCAAGTTCTGAAAAAGACCGAAAATGCCAGCGCAGGAGCGTTTGCCGAGCCACAGCCATCATACAAACAGTTGCACCAGCAATTGGTAAAATTGTCGTCAAATAAACGCGCAGCTATACAGACGAAATATTTTCGAGTGGAAGAATATGAAGATGAAGATGTTTTAATGGGAATTACTGTGCCTGATGTGCGTTCTGTATCAAAAGACACGGGATTCTTTGATTACCCTCTGCTTAAGCAGCTTGTTCTATCCAAATACCACGAAGAAAGATTGCTAGCGTTAGTTGACATTGTAAATAGATACAAGATCATGCAAAGTGTTGGGAATGAT